TCTCCCCCTCAGGCAGAGGCGAAGCCCCGCCCCTCTGTGGCGAGCGGCTACGCCCCCAAAGCGTTCCACGTGGAGGACACGCCCGTCTGCTTCTCCAGGAACTCGTCGCTCAGCTCGTTGAGCATCGACTCTGAGGACGACCTGCTGCAGGAGTGCATCAGCTCCGCCATGCCCAAGAAGAAGAAGAAAGCCGCCGCTGCCGCCACCATCCCCACCGCTGTCGCCACGCCACTTCCTGTTCCCAAAGTCAACGACAGCATTCTGGCTGAGGAAGAGCCTTCAGAGGCTCCGAGAAGCCCCGCCTCCCCTGACTCTGAGTCCTTTGATTGGAAGGCGATCCAGGAAGGCGCTAACTCCATCGTCAGCAGCCTGAACGCCGCCGCCGCCTCGTCGCTCTCCCGCCAGCCGTCATCAGACTCTGACTCCGTCCTGTCCCTGAAGTCCGTGGGCTCGCCGTTCCGCCTGCCGACGACCAATAACAACGCAGAAGAGGAAGAGGGGGAGGAGGCGGTGAAGCGAGGGGCGAGGATCCTGAAGGGCGGGGAACGCACCACGCTGGAGGCCAAGAAGAAGAAGGAGGAGGAAGAGGAGGAGGAGGCTGCGAAGGCGGTGAGAGGCGGGAAGAAGGTGTACAGGAGTCTGATCACAGGCAAGCCGAGGGCGGAGCCTGCAGCCCGGGGCCGCAGTAAACCCAGAGCAGCACCTGCGGCCAAACCTCCAGGAAGCAGCGAGGGCGCCGACAGAGGAGGCGGGTCCTCTCGGGACTCCACGCCGTCTCGCTCCTCCTCCGCAGCCAGTCAGAAAGGAGGGAAGCTGTCACAGTTGCCGCGTACGGCGTCTCCTGGAAGTGCATCATCCTCATCGTCGGTGCCCTCCAGACCGGCCAAGCAGAGCGGGGCGGCGAGGAGCGGCGGCATCCCGAGGAGCGAGTCTGCATCGAGAGTCAGCAGCTCCGTGGTGGCGAAGAAGCCAAAGGCGGAGCCTGAGAAGCCGGCGCTCGTCCGTCAGTCGACCTTCATCAAAGAGGCGCCGAGCCCGACGCTGAAGAGGAAGCTGGAGGAGTCTGCGGCGGCGGCAGCGTTGGAGTCCCCGTCCAGCCCCGACACACCGCTACCACCAACAACGAGGAGACACGACGTCAACCGCTCCCAGTCTGAGAGCCCGTCACGCCCACAGGAAGTGACATCATCGCGCTTCAGCCGCACTGGCACCTGGAAGCGCGAAAACAGCGGCGGGGGTGGAGGGGGGAGTGGCGGTAAACACTCGACATCACTGCCGCGTGTGGGGACGTGGAAGAGGACAGGAAGCTCGTCGTCTGTGCTGTCGGCGTCGTCGGAGTCTAGCGAGAAGGGGCGGAGCGAGGAGGAGAACGGCGTGAGGTCGAAGGGAACGTGGAGAAAGGCGAAGAACGGCAGCGCTGACTCATCAGCGGGGCGGAGCTTCACCGACAAATCAGAAGACGTGTGGGTTCGTCTGGAGGATTGTCCCGTCAACAACCCGCGCTCATCCTCTTCCTGTTCAGCCCGCTCTCCCACCGCCGCCAACGCCCCGCCCGTCATTGACAGCCCCGCCTCCTCCAAGATACCCTCCTCCTCCTCTTCCTCCTCCTCCAACCTCAACCTGCGGCGTAGCTGTGAGAGCCTCGACGACACGCCGCCGCCTGAACGCCAGCAGCAGCCGCAGCGCAGTCAGCAGCGCAGCGGCGCCGTGGCGGCCCGAGTCAGCCCCTTCAACTACACGCCGAGCCCGAGGAAGAACAACGCTGAAAACACCACCACTGCAACGCCAACTGCCACAACATCATCATCAACGACCCCAACACGGCCTTCACTCATCCCCACGCCCGTCACCAAGAAACGGGAACCAAAGGGCGGAGAAGGTGGCGGCAACAGTGGCGGCAGCGGTGGCGGCACCGGCGGTGAACGCGGCTCGTACATCGTGACGTCAGTGTGAGAGGAAACCAGAAGAAGAATCTGGAAAAAGACACAAAAAGGCGGCCACGGTGGTGGCAGTGTAAATACTGAGAAACACCCGGACGTGTTTGTGAACTGTACAGGAAGTGAGTCTGTATTTAAGTGCTAGCCCCGCCCCCTCAGCTCCCTCCTCTGCCCTCATTGGCTCCTCTCACCTGTCAGTCAAGCTTCTTTACTGGATGAGAAACTTACACATAAAGTTTTTATGTTTTTATACCACTAAAATGTGTAGCGCTTAGCTCCGCCCCCTCTGCCTGTGTCCCTGCATGGCCCCGCCCCCTACCTTCACCGTGACGATGATGATGACGACGATGATGATGATGTTAGCTGTAGCGTCGGAGCTGATTCTGCTCCTTCAGAACGTTTCATGTTTTTTGATGAGTTTGGTTCTGGAAAGCTTTTTTCTCTTGCAGACGACCTGCGATCATTTCTCCTGGTCCCGGACTCTGGGACCCGAACTCTGGTCCCGGTCTCGGACCCTGGTCCCCGGTCCTGGTCCCAGACTCTGGACCCTGGTCCCGGCCCCGGACGCGGTCAGAGTAGAAACCAGTTTTTCTGAACCTCACTCACACACTGCTTCTTTCCAGAGAGGGAAGTTTGCTGCCGCCGAACTGTAAAACGTCTGAAACACTTTGTCCCTGAACTTCCTGGTGAAATTTGAGGATTGTGGTTGGCTGAAAACTTCCCGCTCTGTGTCGCCTTGGCAACAAATAACACTGTAAAACGTAAGTTATTGCTGTAAAACCTTTTAACTTTGAAGCACATAATTTAAAAGATTTCTGCCAAAACGTTTCTGTAACTGTTTTTCTGTTGATGCTGGAGGAAACAATGTTTAACATAAGACAACAATAAAACATTTTAGCTGCAAACGGGCTCGGAGAGGTTGTTTTGGCGCCGTACGGAGGCCCTGAAGGGACAGAAAGGGACGTTGTTTAGGTTGAGATATGATGGAGGCTCGGGCCCCTGAACGCTGCCAAGTTAAACAGTTTAAAGTTCACCTTTTTTAAGGGCGTGTCAGCAAAGTCCCCGATGGTCGTGGGACTGTTGGAGGCAGGAAAGTTTTATTCCAAGATGTAGTGTCGCTCGTTCCTCATTGGCCGACGGGAGGAGTTGCTGATCAGCAGGTGAGCTGACGTCACAGAAGTGAAGTTCATGTGTCTGCTCAAAGCGATGGAAACAGAAGCTGGGGGTGGGGGGTAAAGTTGGGACCTCTGGTTCCTTTTCTTTGAACTTTCTGCTCTGTTGCGCTCAGAGGAAGCCAGTTCCACAGGTGAGCGTTCAGTAAGGAAACATCTGCAGGCGACAGAAGTCTGACTTTAAAATTAATTCTCATATTCAGACTAAACTTTAAAATGAGACTCCTTAAAACCCTTCATCTGCTGATGGGCCCCTGAACTGACCAACATTAGAGCCCCTGAACTGACCAACATCAGACCAACATCAGAGTCCCTGAACTGACCAACATTAGAGCCCCTGAACTGACCAACATCAGACCAACATCAGAGCCCCTGAACTGACCAACATCAGACCAACATCAGAGCCCCTGAACTGACCAACATCAGAGCCCCTGAACTGACCAACATCAGAGCCCCTGAACTGACCAACATCAGAGCCCCTGAACTGACCAACATCAGACCAACATCAGAGCCCCTGAACTGACCAACATCAGAGCCCCTGAACTGACCAACATCAGACCAACATCAGAGCCCCTGAACTGACCAACATCAGACCAACATCAGAGCCCCTGAACTGACCAACATCAGAGCCCCTGAACTGACCAACATCAGAGCCCCTAAACCGACCAACATCAGACCAACATCAGAGCCCCTAAACCGACCAACATCAGACCAACATCAGAGCCCCTAAACCGACCAACATCAGAGCCCCTAAACCGACCAACATCAGAGCCCCTAAACCGACCAACATCAGACCAACATCAGAGCCCCTAAACTGACCAACATCAGACCAACATCAGAGCCCCTAAACTGACCAACATCAGACCAACATCAGAGCCCCTAAACCGACCAACATCAGAGCCCCTAAACTGACCAACATCAGACCAACATCAGAGCCCCTAAACTGACCAACATCAGACCAACATCAGAGCCCCTAAACCGACCAACATCAGAGCCCCTAAACCGACCAACATCAGACCAACATCAGACCAACATCAGAGCCCCTAAACCGACCAACACCAGGGCCCCTAAACTGACCAACATCAGACCAACATCAGAGCCCCTGAACTGACCAACATTAGAGCCCCTGAACTGACCAACATCTGACCAACATCAGAGCCCCTGAACTGACCAACATCAGACCAACATCAGAGCCCCTGAACTGACCAACATCAGAGCCCCTGAACTGACCAACATCAGACCAGCATCAGAGCCCCTGAACTGACCAGCATCAGAGCCCCTGAACTGACCAACATCAGACCAACATCAGAGCCCCTGAACTGACCAACATCAGAGCCCCTGAACTGATCAACATCAGACCAACATCAGAGCCCCTGAACTGACCAACATTAGAGCCCCTGAACTGACCAACATCTGACCAACATCAGAGCCCCTGAACTGACCAACATCAGACCAACATCAGAGCCCCTGAACTGACCAACATCAGACCAACATCAGAGCCCCTAAACTGACCAACATCAGAGCCCCTGAACTGACCAACATTAGAGCCCCTGAACTGACCAACATCTGACCAACATCAGAGCCCCTGAACTGACCAACATCAGACCAACATCAGAGCCCCTGAACTGACCAACATCAGAGCCCCTGAACTGACCAACATCAGACCAGCATCAGAGCCCCTGAACTGACCAGCATCAGAGCCCCTGAACTGACCAGCATCAGAGCCCCTGAACTGACCAACATCAGACCAACATCAGAGCCCCTGAACTGACCAACATCAGAGCCCCTGAACTGATCAACATCAGACCAACATCAGAGCCCCTGAACTGACCAACATTAGAGCCCCTGAACTGACCAACATCTGACCAACATCAGAGCCCCTGAACTGACCAACATCAGACCAACATCAGAGCCCCTGAACTGACCAACATCAGACCAACATCAGAGCCCCTGAACTGACCAACATCAGACCAACATCAGAGCCCCTAAACTGACCAACATCAGAGCCCCTGAACTGACCAACATCAGACCAACATCAGAGCCCCTGAACTGACCAACATCAGAGCCCCTGAACTGATCAACATCAGACCAACATCAGAGCCCCTGAACTGATCAACATCAGACCAGCATCAGAGCCCCTGAACTGACCAGCATCAGAGCCCCTGAACTGACCAACATCAGACCAACATCAGAGCCCCTGAACTGACCAACATCAGAGCCCCTGAACTGATCAACATCAGACCAACATCAGAGCCCCTGAACTGACCAACATCAGAGCCCCTGAACTGACCAACATCAGACCAACATCAGAGCCCCTGAACTGACCAACATCAGAGCCCCTGAACTGACCAACATCAGACCAACATCAGAGCCCCTGAACTGATCAACATCAGACCAACATCAGAGCCCCTGAACTGACCAACATCAGAGCCCCTGAACTGACCAACATCAGACCAACATCAGAGCCCCTGAACTGATCAACATCAGAGCCCCTGAACTGACCAACATCAGAGCCCCTGAACTGATCAACATCAGACCAACATCAGAGCCCCTGAACTGATCAACATCAGACCAACATCAGAGCCCCTGAACTGATCAACATCAGACCAACATCAGAGCCCCTGAACTGATCAACATCAGACCAACATCAGAGCCCCTGAACTGATCAACATCAGACCAACATCAGAGCCCCTGAACTGACCAACATCAGAGCCCCTGAACTGACCAACATCAGACCAACATCAGAGCCCCTGAACTGATCAACATCAGAGCCCCTGAACTGACCAACATCAGAGCCCCTGAACTGATCAACATCAGACCAACATCAGAGCCCCTGAACTGATCAACATCAGACCAACATCAGAGCCCCTGAACCGACCGACATCAGACCAACATCAGAGCCCCTAAACTGACCAACATCAGACCAACATCAGAGCCCCTGAACTGATCAACATCAGACCAACATCAGAGCCCCTGAACTGACCAACATCAGACCAACATCAGAGCCCCTGAACTGATCAACATCAGACCAACATCAGAGCCCCTGAACTGACCAACATCAGAGCCCCTGAACCGACCGACATCAGACCAACATCAGAGCCCCTAAACTGACCAACATCAGGGCCCGGGCCCCCATCTGATAGTTCAGATGTTTAATTGGGATGATGACGGCGCAATGATTGAATAAAGTTAAAGGTGGGACCAAAATAATCCCACCTTCTTCTATAGTTGGGGACCCCTGGGGGTCACTGATCTGTGATCTTCCTTTAGTGGTAGAAATGAAGGGAACAGCTTTTCGGTACGCTGCTGATGTAAAACCGAACGACGGGGAAGAAGACGGAGAATCACCATCGGCTTTTATTTTGAAGGACTGCACAGGAAGCCGCTCATCAGATCCAACCGACATTTTAACTCGATTCATTTATAATTTATATTTGAGTTCCTGGTTCAGTTCAGTGACTCAATAAAAATGAGACTGTAGAACAGCATTATTAATGTTGGCAGGGCTGCAGGGAGCAGACATGCAGCACACCACTTAGATTTACACACACACACACTGTGTATATTTATACGTGTGTGTGTATAATCAGCTGCAACAACTGTGTAAACACAGCAGTGTTATAAAGGCAGGAAAATGCAGTGCGCTTGCGTGTTGGTTAGAGCGACCGACGATTAGAGCTGCAGCAGCTCTGAAGCACTGCTGCACCTCAACAGAACTCTTAAAAAATAAAGCAGACAAAGTTTAAATCTTCTGAAAGAACTGAAATTAATTAGTAATGAACTTTGCTTCAGTAAGCCTCCTGACGGCCGCCGGGATCGATCTGGGTCACAGGATGGAGGATGCACGCAAATGAGAAGAATAAAATATGTAAAAGAATAATAAAACATATGTACAATATGTCTCTTGTTTAAATTACAGTTTAGGATGTGCAAAACATTTTACAATATTTAGGCTGATTTATTTTCACAGATATAAAAATGTGTTGGTGAGATTTAAAAAAAAAAACCAAAAGTTTATAGTTATAGAATAACTACTAATTATGAGACGTACGTAATTTTATATAAACTAAAGACAATCATTTTCCTATTCATTTTATTCTGTTACAAAACAGCATGGCAGTATTTTAGTGTGATTAACATTAACATTTATATTTTTCACGCTTTTATCCAAATATACTTTGTAATTATTAATTAATTGTAAGTCGCTTTGGATAAAAGCGTCAGCTAAATGAATAAATGTAATTAATTTATTATTTATTTGTTCCTCGCCCTGTTTGGGTCAAACGTTGGTTTAATTATCTTTATCTTATTATTATTATTAGCTTGTTTTTGATTTCAGCAAAACGTCGAGGAAAAAAAAGAAAGAACAAAAGCTTTGCTGCGGGCTTTTATTGTGAAGGTCCCGGCAGGAAGCGCTGGTCCTTTTAAAGATGGCGGCTGTCCGTGAGGCCGCGCGCGGCTCCGTGTTCTTCGCGCCGTCGCCCGGTGTTGTCGCCGTTAGTCCCGAGCAGAGAGCGTCCGTTTAGACGTCATGCGCAGTGTTCCCGGATGCCTCGCGTGAACCGGACGGCCGTGTTGTTGCTGCTGATCCTCAGCAGCTCCGTGTTCCTGCTGTTCCAGCTCTACTACTACCGGAAGTACGTCAGCAAGGTGAGACACCGTGTTCTGCTAATCAGGTGACCAGTAACAAGGAAGAATCAATAAACCAGACCCCACCAGGTCCCGGACCAGGGGCGTTTCCAGACCCCCCCCAGCATGGGGGGCTCAGCCCGCCCCCCCCATAAAGCATCAGTTAGTGACCTCATCAGCCGTCTCATCTCCTCGCCATGCTGTCTGCTTTTTCCGTAAACCATCGAGCCACATTTTCATCACGTGTCAACACATTTAACGGTGACGATGTTAACGGGGGGCTTTGAAGGTGCTGCGGCGGCGGAAGGGGATGACGGTAGTGCTCCTTACTCGTAACCACTGACGCTGCTCCAAAAGTTGTTCCGTGTGTCGTCGGCTTTAGTTTCCTGCGTTCTGGTGAATTTTGGGCTTTACTGAGGAAACGTCTTTATTTCTGTAAAAGGAAACCCTCCGGCTGTCGGATCAGCTGCTTTAATCCGGCGTGTCTGAGGCTTTGAAGTTTCACCTTCAGTAGTTTGAATTCAGTGAGGAACGCCGGGAGCGCCTGAGTTTCTGCTCAGTCTCTCCCGCAGATCCGAGTGCTCTGACATTTGCAGAATAATATTTTGAGAAAGAAGTCGTAATATTACCAGAATGAAATCGTTATCTGATAGCAGCTGTGCGTTGCCCTGCGTTACTGCTCTGCTGACACGGTCGGACCTCCGATCTGTCGATTCCCGCTAGCTAAAGAGAGGTGCTACAGGCGTGGTCTCTGTCGGGCGTCAGACGGTGATCGTCAGCAATATAAAAATCTCATCGTCAGAATGCGCTGCCCCTGAAATCTTAAATAAAGATGGCCTAATAAAGTATTTCAGCTCCCCTCTGCTTCACATGGAGCTTTATCTGATACGTGGTGGTCAGAAGACGTTACACCTTTAAGAGAGAACACACGAGGTAGACCGGTCAGCATGTATCGTCACAACACCTCCTTAGAGCCGTCTGGGAATGTAGCTGCTGGAGGAGACGAGCCCAGACCTGAGCTACAGTCTGTGGTCCTGAGCAGCCCTGGAGCTGTGAGCGATGAGCACTCGCTGTCTCTGTAAACACAGGCAGGCTGGGTCACGTTACATGAACTTCAGACAAAATGATACCGCTCGGTTCGTTGGAGTTACGTGATGGTCATAACTCCGCCCACCGATCAGGAGGCTGAACCAGGATGGAATGAATGTCACGACGCGGTGGCTGTTAGCGTAGCATTTTATCACCTTTACTTTTTAAAATAATGTCACCAGAGTTTAGTCTTCATTTCCCAACATGCCTTTCTCCTGCAGCCTGGCCCTCACATCCTGAGCCGTACAGGTCACCTGACCGCCAGTGACCTCCAATGGGTGAGTCAGCGCTAATGTTAGCCTCTCTGTTAGCATCTCTGTTAGTGATGTGGACGCGTCCATCGTGTGCGTCACCATAGTAAGCGTCACCATAGTAAGCGCTCTGGTTTCTGCAGCAAACCGTGAAGAGGTTTCTGGGGTTGGCTCAGCGCTACGGGCTGCCACTGTTCCTTGCCGACACGGCCGCACTGACGCTACTCTCCCAGGATGCTTTGCGGCAGCGCGACAGGCTGGTGCGTGAGCCGCACTGCAGCTTCCTGTGCACCGGACGTCCAGTCACGTCCTTCGCCCTGTACGCCAACCTGTGGAAGTATGACGTGAGTGTCCATTGGTGGTTTATTTGACCCTGCTGCTGTTATTCTATTGGTAAAATAATATAACGTGTTTGGATGTGAAACCGCCTCTTTACAGTAAAATGTTGTTTTTGGTCGTCAGCCCGGCTTCCTATTGGCTACTGAGCAGAAGGGCTTCGAGCTGCTGGAGCTGCGAGGAGACGACCCGCGACTGGCCAGTCTGGAGACCCTATCAGGAGAGGAGATCCCCCTGCACCTCCTGCTTCGCCTCAACGGTTACATCATCCAGGTGGGCGGGGCCACAAACACCTAGAAACCACATGGTGAACCAGATACACCTCGAGACCACATGGTAGACCAGAAACATGGTTTCACCTGGATTCACCTGTTTCAATGGCTGAACTCCAGGAAGCTCTCTTACATATGCCGAATAATAAAGCCCCTGGGCCAGATGGTTTTCCTGCTGAACTCTATAAAGAATTCTGGGAAATGCTTGCGCCCACATTCTATAGGATGGTTATGCAAATTAGGGGTACTTGCATGTTGCCTCCAACAATGAATTCTGCTAATATCAGCCTGCTCCTTAAACCAGACAAAGACCCCACACTCCCGTCCAGTTATCACCCGATATCACTTATTAACGCAGATCTTAAAATCATCTGCAAAACCCTAGCAAGAAGGCTAGAGAAGGTCACTCCTGGTATAATACACTCTGACCAAACAGGATTTATTAAGGGCAGGCACTCCACCAACAATACACGCATGCTACTTAACATAATAGACTATGCCACTATTCATAACCTGGAAACTATAGTTGTTTCTTTAGATGCAGAGAAAGCATTTGACAGAGTAAATTGGAAATTTCTATTCGCTACTTTATATAAATTTGGATTTGGAAACTCTTTCATAGATTGGATTAAAATCTTATACAGTTCCCCAAGAGCTTCTGTCAAAACAAATGATCATACTTCTCCATGCTTTAGTCTCCAGAGGGGTACCAGGCAGGGTTGCCCACTCTCTCCCTCGCTATTTGCTATTTTTATAGAACCACACCACAAGATAAGCCTTTATGCAGATGATGTATTACTTTTTCTCCTAAACTCACAAACTTCTCTTTCTGAGACAATCACACTTATAGATAAATTCTCATCCATCTCAGACTACTCCATTAACTGGAGTAAATCCATAGTTTTACCTGTAAAGTGTGATTTCCAGAGTATATCTACCACACCGCTAAAGTCTGGGAATATTAAATATCTGGGTGTCAATATTTCCTCCAGGCTGTCAGAACTGACATGGCTAAACTATACGCCTTTACTTAAATCTATAGAGGATGACCTTGTACGGTGGACATCATTACCTATATCACTCATGGGAAGAGTCTCCACCATAAAAATGATGGTCCTACCTAAAATCAATTACCTGTTTTCAATGTTACCCACCAAACCCTCTGCTGTCTGGTTTAAATCACTGGACTCAAACATCTCAAAATGTTTGTGGAAAAATAAACCCCCACGAATCAGTCTAAAAACTATGCAAAAAGCAAAAGACTGTGGTGGTTTAGAACTGCCAAATTTTTATCATTACTTCCTGTCCAATAGACTACAATATATCTCAAAATGGATCAATCAGAGCCCCCTAGACCACTCATGGATGGACATAGAACAAACCTTCTGTAATGAAATTAAAATTTCCGATATGCCATTCATCAGTTCCAGCATCAAACGTCATACCTGCTTTAAAAGCATTAACATAAGCACTTCCTTGGGAGCTTGGTGGGAACTTCTCAAAATATCTGGGTCTTCACCTATCCCATGCAGATTTACCCCAATCTGGAATAATCCTGACATCCCGCAAAATAAGAAAACACTAAATTCCCCACTGTGGTATGACAAAGGGATAAGACATCTAGAGCATGTAATGCAAGGCAGTAACTTTACTCCATTCCAGGATCTAGTGGCACAATATGGAATTAGCCATAATAGATTTCTGGAATTTCAGTTTAAATCCATAATTCAGGCTAGATTTAAGGATAAAATAATGGACTTGATGATAACAGACTTTCTTAAACTCTCGCCTCCAAAACTGTTATCAAAAGTATACATGTTACTGTTAAAAAACAGATAGTTCAATCTCTCTCCCATTCTTAAAGTGGGAGACAGATCTATCCATTAGTCCAGACCAAAACTTTTGGATGCAGATATGTTTAAATACCTTTAGAATGACTACAAATCCCAATCTACAACTTATACAGTATAAAACTCTCCATAGAACACACTATACTGGACAAAGGATGTTCAGAATGGGTCTTATGCAGTCAAACATCTGCCGGAACTGCTCAGGTAACATATCTGATAGTTACATGCATGCTATGTGGCAATGTACACCTGTTCAAAAGTTCTGGCAGAAGATATGTGAAGACCTATCGATATGGCTAAGTTACCCCGTCCCAGTTTCCCCATCACTCTGCGTGCTGGGGGACGACATTAGTATAGAGGTTGACACATCATACATGCTTCTCACTGCCTTATGCATCGCCAAGAAAACTATCCTCATGAACTGGAAGGCCAAAAAGAATATAAGTATCACCCAATATTGGAATCACCTTATAGATCACATTAGCATGGAGAAAATGTCTGCTGTAAAAAAAAAAACAAATTGACACAATTCCAATCTCTCTGGTCCCCCTTGATCAACTTTATCACTTAATGGCGGTGGGTGTGTACTGCCTGGACCCTCAACACTACCCCGCAAAAAATCTAACTAGCGGCACACAACAGCCAAGTAATGCGCTGCACAGGAGAGATGCCAGCCGGCGCAAACCGCCCCCATCCCCCCCGCAGCCAGAGAGACCACAGACCCCACCCACCGCTACACCGTGGACCGTAGGTCCTGTACGGCCGGTAGGTGTGTCTGGGGGTGGGTTGATTCTTAGACGCATTGCGGTGCGGGCGTGAGGGACTTTTTCTAATTATTATTATTATTATTTTATTTTTTTTAAATGTTGGTTGATGGCATGGTGTTGGCGGAGGGGGGGGGGGGGCGGTGGTGCGACGCTCGGGATGCCTAGGGCGCGGGCTTGACGGGGGACCGGTGTTGCCCTGTATTCGGCGTGCCGCTGCTGCGGGGTGGGTAGCCACTCTGCTTGGGTGTCGCGCGGTTGTTGGTATTGGTGCGCGGGTGGTGATTTTGACTCGCGCGCTGTGCGGATGTGGTGGCGCTCGGTGCTTGGCTGCCTCTCTGTGTGTCCTGTGTGTGGGTCCGGGTTGGGGGGAGGGGGCGGGCAGCGGGCATGGCAGTGGAGGTTGGTGGGGGGGGGGATGCTTGTGGTGGGTTTCGGTCTGGTGGTGAACATGCAGTGTGGGTCACGGTGTAGCCGTGGGTGGGGTCTGTGGTCTCTCTGGCTGCGGGGGGGATGGGGGCGGTTTGCGCCGGCTGGCAGCACATTACTTGGCTGTTGTGTGCCGCTAGTTAGATTTTTTGCGGGGTAGTGTTGATTGGCTCATCTGTAGGTCATTATTGGCTTGCGTGCTTGTCGGGGGTTGGGGGCATCGGGTGCGGGCCTGGACTGGGCTGGTGTGCGGCTGTGTCCTGTGTGCATGCTGTGCATCCTGATAATTGCGTTTCGGTTCTCTGAGGGGTCTGGCGACTGGTTGTTGGAGGGGAGGGGGACCGGGAAGAAGGGGTTGACGGGGTGGGTTGGGGGTGCGGAGGGGCCCCAGCGAGGACGGGGGATTGTTGGACTTTGGGTTGGGGCTGCACTGACCTGCCTCGGGTGTGTGTGGGGGTCTGGGGCATGGGGCTTTGGAGCCTCTGGGGCGGGTCTGCGCGCTGGGGGGCTGGGCCCGTCCTGGGGATGGGCGGGGTTGTCACTGACTCTGGGGTGCTGCCGGTGCTAGAGGGGCTCTTGCTATAAGCCCTGGGCTGGGAGGGACCTGGCGTCCTCCTGCTTAGGGGGGTGGGGGACGGGACTGAATAAATGATGGGGCCAGTCAGGAATCTGGTCTTCTAGCCTCCCTATGACCTCCTTCACCTTTCCCCCTTTGGTCATGTCTCACAACATACACCCTTAGGACCCTGGGGCGCGGGCAGCCTGCAGGGCGTTTGGGGGGTGGGGCTGCTTTATTGCGGCCTCGCACTTCTTCCTCCCTCACTGCCTGCCCCTCAATTTTAATTAGACATTAGAGACAGAGGGCTTGGGGGTGGGAGGGGCACGATGGGAGGCTCCACTACCTGACAGTTGTGGGGTGCCTGTGTCACAACTACCCTCCAATTTTAGTTGCACCTTAGTTACTACACACCTTATCTTTACTCCACCATACAACACTTCTATCTATGACATGCATCCAACACAAAACAATACATTTACAGAGGCAGGCAGGGGGGTGGAAGGAGTGGGGGAGATTCTCATTGGCCTCGTGTCCTACCCCATGGAGCCCCGGGCGTCGGGGGTGCTGTGGGGTTGGTGACAGCCTTGCCTGATCTGGGGTGGGCTGCAGGGAGTCTGGGCTCCCCTGGCGTGGGGGCTTGCCCTTGACCTAGGGTTCTGGGGACTCGGGCTTGTGGCCTTTGCTCATTTCTGGGCGGGTGGTGTGTCCCTGGGCCTGGGGGCCCGTTGTCTCCTCTCCTCGCCTGGGCCCTCTTCGGCAGAGGTGAGGCTACCGCTGCTTCCCCCTGCCAGCTCACTCACGGTGGGGGCATTCGGGAGTCTCTGGGGCGCATGACCGGTGTTGTTGGGGTAGGTTTTGGTGCTCCTCCTTGGGGGTGCTTGACTGGGGGGGGCTGGGCCCCTGTCCGGGGATGAGATCGGCCTCGGGGCCTGCTGTCACTGCCTGCACTGTAGGGAGGGATGCCTCTGGCTGGGCTGGGGGACCGTTGGCCTGGTTCTCCCGCGTTATCGCTCCCTGGCGGCAGGGAGCTTCCCGGCACGGCTTTCTGCTGTTCTTCCTTGGGGCGGGGTACAGCTTCCCCCTGGACATGCGGTCTGGGGTCCTTTGCACTTTGGGGGGTCGCAGGGTGTCCTGGCTTCTGGGGGTGGGGGTCTCTGCGTGGGTTGATCCAATTGCGGTTTGGTGGGCTGCGGTGGGATTGTGGGGCGATTGTCGATGCATCTTGATGCATTATACTTTTTCCCTGGGCAGGGTCTCTGGATGGCTGCTGGGCGTTTAGTTTGTGCGTTGGAGTCCGGGGGAGGCATCTCCTCGTTGGCTTGGAGGGACCTGTTTGCGTGCCTGTTTTGCTTCGTTGGCCTTGGATCCGTGCTTGCCCATTTCTCTGTCGGCCAGTTGTTGGACCCCTCTGGATACTGAGGTATATATTCGGGATGTGCAGTGTGGGTGCGGGGCAGGGCTGTGCTCCGGTTTGTTCTGGGTTTGTGCCTGGAGTTCTCGGCCCTTGATGGATGGGTGGGTTGTTGGTGGCCTGCAGCTGAGCTAGCTGATTTTGCCTCGTTGCTGGTTTGGCTGGTGTTGCATGGCGGCCGCGGGGCGCGCTGGGCATGGGGGATGTCGGCTGGCGCCAGCAGCCTTAGTTTCTTCCGGCGGTTGGGGGGACGGCGGACTTTTATTGGCGGGTGCACGGTGACCTGTGCGGCGCGTTTGCTGCCGGGCTGGGACTTGCTGCTGGTGTTTCTCTCCGCTGGCTTTCGCTGTCGTGTTGTTCTGTTTGCTCTCTCTCGTTTGCCGACCTCGCACGCGGGATTCGCGGGGGGCTGCTGGGCATGGTTGTTTGCTGCACGGCGGTGGGGTGCTGGATGGGGGGGAGCAATGGTCTATGTTGTGTGCGCGCCGCGGTCGGTCTGGGCGCTGCTCTTCAGCGGGTTATGCTTTTTGCGTTCTGTCAGCATTACGTTGTCAACTGGCATTTGGGTCGGGGTATTCTGCGTTTGCATCGCAGTGCATCTGGGAGTCTTTGTTTTTTTTTTTGTTTTTTTTATTTTTTTTTTTTATTCTTTTTCTTTCTTCCACCCCTATTGGCTACTGGGGTTCTTGCCTGCCTGTTACAGTCGTGGCGTCCCACTCTCACTAACAACTACATTCTTTAACAGGCTTATGTACACACATGTACACACACACACACACAGACACATTCACCCACACGCACACAGACACAAACAAACTTAGGTTGTCCCTGGTAGAATTATTCCTGATGCCTTTCTTTCAGTTACTTATTTAAATTAATTATTATTCCAGCTCTCGTGGCTGTGTTGTGTTGCTTATTTAGTGTGTGTGACTGTTTCTTGTTTTCATTGTTCTCTTAGTTGTCTTAATATGTCATTAATATGTCAGCTTTTATTGCTGCTGTTCGGCTGGTTGTCTTTTACTATTATTATTATTTTTATTGTTTTTTTGTTTGTGTTTGTTTGTTGTTGTTGTTTTTCTCCTCCCCAAGCCCCCCTCTCTGTTCTATTCCAGGTTTCGTTGCTTTCTGCAATTGGTGTTTCCCACAGCTTTTCCCTGTTGTCCCCACCTTCCATCCCCCTTGTCTTGCAGGTGTTGTCCTTTCTCTGTGCTGTCTGTTTGTGCCCCCCCATCCCCGTGTCTGCCCCCCTGTCCGGCCCGGTGACAGATCAATACATAATTAAATAAATAATAAAACAGACAAAGGAGTATTTTAATACTCTCTTGTTAAAGTAAAATCTGTCTGGCACAATATGGTATCCAGGTCATTATACCACATGGTAAACCAGAAACACCTCGAGACCACATGGTGAATCCTCTGTCAGCAGCATCGTGTTTCTGCTCTGACTGATTGATGAGAGCCAATCAGGAAGCCAAACGTGAGCGTCTGTGTCAGCACGCCACCCCAGAGTTTAAAACCAAAACAGGGTCAGGAGCGTTTTCAAAACATTTTAGGTGTTTGGATTTGCGGTTTTAGTCTGGAGGGACGCAGGATGCAGAAGGTTCTGCAGACTCGGGCTGGCCCACAGTTTACGGAGGTCTGCTAATGGACCTGGGCTCAGCTCCTCTTAATGTGTTGGTCAGTTTGTCAGCTGAACGTCAGTAAATGTATTTTGTCCCAGGTGGTGTTCCTGTACGAGCGCAGCGGGAACTACCTGTGGCACGGAGCGTTACGCCTCAAAGCCAACGTGGACCGAAGCTTCGCTCCTTTCAAGCTGCTGGACTACGGGCGCCACGCCGGGGCGTACGACAGGTGAACTCGAGCAGCTGTTAACTGTTTTTTGTTGTATGCTCTGCAGATGGAAAGTTTCAGAATAAAGCAGCTTTCTTCTGTGTGGCCCCCCCTGCAGGCCGGAGCTGGTCCTGACTGTCCTGGACGGCCTCGACGTTAGAGTCCCGCGTAATGTTTCCCGCTTCCTGTCCGAGCAGCGACACGCCCGCTTCCTGGAGTGCCGTTACCGTGACGCCCGCAACTTCCTGCAGGTCAGAAAGCACCCCGGGCTTTTATTGTGAAAGTGGAGAAATGCAGGCAACCACAGGAAACGTGAATTTAGAAAATGTATTTTCTGTATTTTATTCTAAATTGTTGAGCTTCAGTCACTTTATGAATGACCTGCTGCTGCTGGCTAAAGGTCAGGACCTTGTTCTATTTGTCTCTGCCGAGAGCCGGAGATGCACTTCCTTCTACCGGGTAAAGCATTCAGTGAAATAAACCTGCTAGATGTTTCTGGAGCAATGAAGACGCTGAGCCGCTGAGCTAGTTTGCCGACCTTGAGTTGTCTCTTTCTCTGTGTCTCTCTCTCTCTGTGTCTCTCTCTGTGTCTCTCTCTGTCTCTCTGTGTCTCTCTCTCTGTCTCTCTCTCTCTCTCTGTGTCTCTCTCTCTCTCTGTCTCTCTCTCTCTCTCTGTCTCTCTCTCTCTCTGTCTCTCTCTCTCTGTCTCTCTCTCTCTGTCTCTCTCTCTCTCTCTCTGTGTCTCTCTCTCTCTGTGTCTCTCTCTCTCTGTCTGTCTCTCTCTCTCTGTCTCTCTCTGTCTCTCTCTCTCTGTCTCTCTCTCTGTCTGTCTCTCTCTCTCTCTGTCTCTCTGTCTCTCTCTCTCTCTGAGTGGAAGGTGAGTGAGTGGTGTGGTGAACGCTGCCCTGAGTTAGTTTCCAAACTTTCATATGTTTATGTGTGTCTTTTGTCTCTTTATATCGTGTTAGTTGAGAGTTTTGTCTCTTGTGGTTGTGTTTGTTGGTGGCGTTGCTTCCAGCCTGGCTGGGCAGGAGGCCCGTTGTAGATGTGGAAGTGGATTTTGTGAAGCTGACACGCCGACATGCAGTGAAGTTGGTGGCGGCTGTCAGCTGCTCGGTGGAGGAGGCGAGTTTAGCGGTGGGAGAGCTGGTGGGTTATGGCAGCATTAAGTCTGCCTCCCGCATGAACGGAGCCATTGTGGTGTTTTTAGATCACACTGACAAAGTAAACGATGTGGTAGAAAAAGGGGTAATTATTAAAGATACTTTTACCCCGGTTCTCCCTCTGGTTAACCCTGCCAGGAAAGTTACCATCTCCAACGCTCCCCCGTTCTTAAAAAATGAGTTATTGTTAAAAGAGCTATCCAGGTATGGACAGGTGATGTCCCCCATCAAGATGGTGTCCCTGGGCTGTAAGTCTCCATTGTTAAAACACGTTGTTTGTCACAGAAGACAGGTTTTCATGGTGCTAAAGAACAACTCGGCAGAAATTAATTTATCTTTTAATTTCAATGTGGACGGATTTAATTACATGGTGTTTGCAACTTCGGAAACCATGAAATGTTTTGGCTGTGGTGCAGAGGGCCATCTAATTCGCTCATGCCCGAAAAACTTTTAAAAGAGCAGGGAAATGTTGCCGCGGCGTCGGCCGCTGCCGCGGTGCCCAGCGCGGCTGCCGCTGGCGCGGCTGGTGGGGCTGCGGAAGCTGCCGCGGTGCCTGGCGGGGCTCCCACTACTGGCGGTGCGGCCTTTTCTCCCGATACCGGTGGCGGGCCCCCGGTACCGATGGGACTGCGGCACCTGACGCAGTGCCCGGCGTAGCTGCGGCTGATGCGGCCGCGTTGGAGGATCCCGGTAGATGTTCCTTGGCCAAGGAAGTCGCTGAGAGATTGTCTGATAATAAAATCATGTCCAGTGTGTCTAATGCTGAACTGCAAGAAAGAGAAAGCGGACAGGGAGACACAGAAACAGAACTGAACATTGACCAGGGAGAAAATGAGAACAACAGTGAACAGGTGTATAACAGTCAGCTGAATGAATGTTCTCAGAGCAGCAATATTTCAGTGTGTTCTGACTTTATTGAGGATGAGGATATATCTGATGAGGATCTAATGAAAATCGCACAGAAGAGAAAGAGCACAGAAAGTGTTCAGAGCAGAGCTAAAGTTGCCAAAGGAAAGAAAGACAGAAAAACACGCTCATTAGAAAACAGTGATTTCACACAAGAGGAGGGGAGCAGCAGCTACACTTTAGCTCAAATACAAAAGTTCCTTCAGGACACTGAGGGTCTCAGGCTGTTGAAGGTTGAGAACTTTTTCCCAGACCTGAAACTGTTTGTCAGTTCAGCTCAACCTCTTACCAGAGCTTCAGGAGGTTTTGGTGATGAAGGCCTCACAGAGCAGGAGATATATCGCCTCAGAAAGCTGATCATTAAGGTGAAAGCTCAAATTATTGGTGATGATGTTTAAACAGCCTCTTCTCTTCTGTTTCTTCCTGAAATGTTTGTTTTGTGTTCTTTATTATTTTTCTCTCTCTCCATGGGTCACTTTAAAATTGGCACTTTAAATCTAAATGGAGCGAGGGACGACGCAAAGAGAGCTGCCCTTTTTAAACTCATGGAGTTTAAGCAACTAGACGTACTGATGGTTCAGGAAACACACAGTAACTCTGAAAATGAGAGTCAGTGGAAGAAAGAGTGGCCAGGGCAGGTTGTTCTGAGCCATCAGTCCAGCTGCAGTGGAGGGGTTGGGCTTTTCTTCTCCAGAGGTTTCCTGCCTGCATCTTGTGAGGTAGAGGAAGTTATTGAAGGCTGTCTACTGAAGGTTAAAGTTCAGTATGAGAATATAAAGATGAATCTGATAAATGTCTATGTCCCATGTAATGCTGCGGAAAGGCTGCACGTGCTGAGTGTTTTAAGCAATACTGTCAGAAAATGCAGTAGTGATGAGTTTTTATTCTTGGGAGGTGATTTTAACTGTACAGAGAATCCACAGCTGGACAGGAATCACCAGGAGCCTCACAGAGGGCCTCCTCACAGAGGGCCTCCTCACAGCCTCCTCACAGAGGGCCTCCTCACAGAGGGCCTCCTCACAGAGGGCCTCCTCACAGAGCCTACAACAGCTCATAGAAACACACGAGCTGCTGGACGTGTGGAGGAGCTTTAATAAAAGTCAGAGACAGTACACATGGAGTCACTGCAAAGAGAATGTTTTATCTCAGGCTAGATTAGATCGGTTTTACTGTTTCAAGCATCACATCAATGTCTTTAAAGGTTGTTTTATTAACCCTGTGGGTTTTACTGATCACTGTCTTGTTTATTGTTCTGTTTTTATTAAAAACGTCAGATTGAGCAGTGCTTATTGGCATTTTAATACTGCACTGTTGCATGACAAAGCCTTTAAGTCTGTTTTTGAGTTTTTCTGGCTCACTCACAGAGAAACTAAGGCTGATTTCAAATGTATTCAGCAGTGGTGGGACTTTGGAAAAAGCCAGATTAAACAGCTGTGTCAGCAGTACACTCGCAATGTCACCAGGGACATTATCAGATCTTTGAAGGATCTGGAGATTGAAGTGGTAGAACTACAGGGTCTAGTAGGGGCCACAGGAAATCAGGGACACTTAGATTCCCTAAAATCTAAAAAGTTGGCTTTGGCCAGCCTGCTGGGTGTGACAGCTCAGGGGGCTCTGGTGAGGTCTCGGTTCCTGGACGCCACACAGATGGACGCCCCGTCACACTTCTTCTTTGGTTTGGAGAAGAAAAACGGGCAGAGAAAGATCTTTCACTCCATTCGATCCAGAGACGGAGTTTGCGTCTCTGATTCCTCTGAGATCAGAAAGCACGCAGCCAGTTTCTATAAAGAACTGTACAGGAGCGAGCTGACAGACCATCCAGAGGTAGAAGAGCTCTTCTACGCTGATCTTCCTCAGGTCAGTGATGAGCACAATGTAGAGCTGGAAGCTCAGCTGTCTCTACCTGAACTGTATCGTGCTGTGATGAGTCTGCAGAGTGGTCGAGCTCCGGGGATTGACGGCCTTCCTGTGGAGTTTTACAAGTCTTTCTGGTGTGTGCTGGGACAGGATCTGCTGGAAGTGCTTGGAGACAGTTTGGAGACGGGTCGTCTGCCTCTGAGCTGCAGGAGGGCAGTGATCACTCTGCTGCCAAAGAAGGGTGATTTGCAGGAGCTGAAAAACTGGAGGCCTGTGTCGCTACTCTGCTCGGACTACAAAATCCTGTCTAAAGTCCTGGCTTCCAGACTCAGACAGGTGATGGGGTCTGTCATTCACGTTGACCAGACCTACTGTGTACCCAGCAGGTTTATCAGTGACTATCACTCTGATTCGAGATGTTTTGGAAGTCTCTAGTTCATTGGCTGTAGATACTGGTCTGATTTCAATAGACCAGGAAAAGGCTTTTGATCGGGTTGAACACCAGTATCTGTGGCGGACTCTGACTGCCTTTGGTTTCAACCCACGTTTCATAGCCAAGATCCAGGTTTTGTACTGTGACATTGCGAGTGTTCTGAAGATAAATGGAGGCCTGAGCGCTCCCTTTAGTGTACAGAGGGGGTGAGGCAGGGCTGCTCTCTGTCTGGCATGTTATATTCTCTGGCCATTGAACCTCTGCTTCACAGACTAAGGTCTGCTCTCTCTGGTGTCTGTTTTCCTAAATGTGACATTCTTTTCAAACTGTCTGCATATGCAGATGATATCATCGTTCTGGTGAATAAGCAGAGAGATATTGATGTGTTGGGAGAAACCTTAAATCTGTATGGCCTGATATCATCTGCTAAAGTGAACTGGGTGAAGAGTGAGGCTGTGATGGTGGGAGAGAGGCTGAGAGTCAGCTCAGTCTGCCTGGAGGCCTCTTCTGGAAAACAGGAGGGCTGAAATATTTAGGGGTGTTTCTGGGAAACGAAGCATCTTTGAAGAAAAACTGGGATGGAGTTTTGGAGAAGGTCAAAGGTCGCCTGAACAAGTGGAAATGGTTGCTGCCTAAAATGTCTTTTAAAGGTCGGGTTTTGGTTGCAAATAATTTGGTTTCTTCGGCTCTGTGGCACCGTTTGGCCTGCGTTGACCCTCCACCCTCTCTCCTGCCAAACATACAAAGAATATTAGTGGATTTTTTCTGGGACAAGTTACACTGGATTCCTCAGAGCATGCTTTTCCTTACAAAAGAGGAAGGAGGGCAGGGCCTGGTCCACTTGGCCAGCAGGGGGGCTACTTTCCGCTTGCAGTTTGTCCAGAGACTCCTCACTGGGCCTGCAGACCTGGTGTGGAGGCCACTGTCCTACTGTATT